GGGTTAAACTAGAGGTCGGCCTTCGCAGCTATATTACAAATAGAAGCCGTCAGGTAACAAAACCCATTCACCGTACTATTCACCAGAACAGGATCGTGTGCATAATTCTGGTTAGTAAAATATCTAGCCAGATATTCTGAACAACGCCATCCTTCAGAATGAAACCTGTCTTACCCAGGATCAGCACTGTTTCAGAGAAGAACGTCAAGAACCATAGTGAACAGCAAAAGATTTTGATCTCATCGCAGTTTTCATCACTTTGAGGCGCAGCAAGGGCTTATGGATTTCCATCTTCGTAGGAGGATTACACCACTCTCTAATGTAGGTAGCAAATCATCGGTGGGAATAAAAGAACTTGGAGGACAAGTTGCTCAGTAGCCGTTGGAAAAGCTCAGCCTAATTTCAAAGCGTTCCTTCCTATCTGCTAATGGGAAACCATTAGAGCTCTGGATAAGGGCGGAACAAATTCTTCACTTACCAGACAGCTGTAGAACTCCTTGGAACACTTCTAGCCAGTCAACCTTCTGGCTGCCTTATCGATCTTCTCTATTTCACCCTCAAACAAAAGTTCCTTAAACAGCCAGTAGCCCTGATTGACTGCATGAAAGAGAGGATGATGAGTTGCCTTTGAGGGTACAGTGGTGTATTGTAACTCTTAGTGTGGCTTCTCTGCTCTCCAAGGAGAATGTGTTCTCGTAACTCAGTGCAGCTTGGCAATCATCCTCCTATCCTTAACTACATTTTTTCTCAAGGAGATGAAGCCTTCTCTGAAATTTTTGTAAGCTTCATGGGCATTCGTACTTCCAGATTGGGCCTGAGGGGAAACTAAAATGATTCCTTTCACCTTTTGGCAGACTTCGTTAGATTCCATATTGTAGCTTGTCAACATCGAGAAGCTGTGTGTTTCAACTAAACGACGTCGACTGGGAGCGACTAATTTTCGAAAACCATAGAGAGATTGCAGGCTTCGCATCTGACGCACATCTCGAGAAACGCACTGCGGCATTCGCTGCTGATGAAAATGTGGTTCAGCTGCAACTTCAGATTTCCGTCATGGGATGTCCATATAGTTTAGTGGACTCGCTTATGAAAGAACTGGGTGGCATTAGTATTAATTAGTATTAATAAATATATTACTGCCATAACATCAGTGCAAGTTATAAACGACATTGGAAAAACCTGATTCATAATCCATTATAATATAATAAAATTGAACAGATTTTATTCCACCGCTATTTTATAACTATCGTTCAGAAATGGATTGATTGGTTCAAATAACGAATACGACTGCAATCTTAGAGAAGTAACAGTAGTAAACGAGTATCTCCAAAACAGGAGATTACACGTTGTGCTTGCCACATCGCGACTGACTCCACTGTTAAGACGAAACACTCCGGGTCGATGGCATCAATCATGATAGTTGTAAACTTCGTGAAAATGTGGGCGCAACAAATGGCACCTAACTACGAAAGTATGAGGAAAACCTACATCTCAACGGTTACAAACTTTGCGTTCTTCCTTGACCGTGGTGAACGCGAAAACAATGAGTGACGCAACGCGTTTATGGCAAAAAGGCTTCAGCAATAACTCGACACGTGATGGCACGCATATACAAAAGTGAACAAACTATTACTCACAAAGAGCAAGGAATGAATGCCGGGATTTCAGTAGCAACAGCACCCTCTTCAACAAGTCGCGATAGATAATGAAATTTCGCATGTAGCTCGAGTGACGCTCGACACCGAACGAAATCAGATCCAGCACAAGACTAAGCAGATTAGCCGTACGGTAACAATCTAAAAAACAACCGACGTGATTAGATCAATAATAAGATGAAATAAAAAACATCTACCATTTCTCAGAGACCCACAGAATGGTGAAGAACACATTCACTTTACAGCCAGAATAAGGTCGCTCTGATCGAGCAACTTATGTTTCTGCCGGGAAATATGACTGTTACTACAGCCGCAATGTAACGTAAATCTGAGCACCCTTTCATACGAGTGAGACAGCAGAAACGCTGGACAACCCCTTAGTAAACCATCGTTAGCTTTTGGCACTGATGGTGGCAACGACGGAAAGACACTTCTCACAATCGTATCAGAGTTTGAATCACACCAGAATCGTGATATCACAATATCCACATACCAGACGAACCGGTTCCTTCGGAAGAACCTAACTTTTAAGAACACCTGACTTATTCCAACCGCGAACTAAAGAATTACCCTCCAAAAGAAGTTCAGAGTCGTCTAAGAAACCCATATAATTAGCAAAGCTTGGCTCCCAGTGCCATATCCTGATTCTGTTCATCATATTTCGCATCATTTGCCCTGTCGACATCATTTTACTAAACTTCAAAAATTTATTTTCACCCATAGCGCATAATCTCATATCAATTCAACCAAATCACGAGTCTTCAACTGTTTTGCCTCGCTGATGGGGCCAACTATACTAAGTTCCTATATTTGTCACAGGGGGTTCAACACTTTGAGATACAAGAACTACGTGAATTTTCCTCTGAATTTAAATTTCATCATCATAACTCATTGCTAGAACCCAGCTTCTCTGAAACTTACCGCGGAAGACACACTGCTTACAGCAAAGGTACTTAAGCTTAAACTGACAACGTTTTCATCGCATGCTCCTTCAGACTAGATATATCCTGTAGTTCAAGCGCTGCTAGAATTCGAATGGACACAAAAATCATGGAGAGAGCTCAAACATCAGCACGCATAGTTGAAGTCCGCACCATATTTTAAATTTAATCCCTTATTTCAATATTAATTCTGTTCAATGAGCCTTACTGTCATTTCCAGCCCTACAAGAACTTTCAAATCTCCCTTCTCAGTTTCTTCCCATCTCCCTTGTTTTGCTTTATTTCAATCCTTCATTTCTTAACCTCGCCACTGATTTTCTTCTCTGCTTCCTTATTCCTTATCTCCAATCATAATTTGTTTCTCAATTGTTCCTCCCAATACCCCCCCCCCCACAAACACACAATAAAATTTGTCT